ACCGACCGAGCCATAATCAATCCTACTCCGAAGATGGAGCGAAGAAGGTGGTCTACTGCTGATGTTTTTGTTGTGATTTCTTTGGGCGAATGAGAATTTTGAGCAGAATGTAGTGAAAACACGACACGGACGGCCTTGCTACTGATATGACAAGCCTCCCACTTGAAGGTATTTTTCTGGGCTCGGAGCTTTCCGCTGCAAGTCAAAGGGTTGACATCCAATTTCGAGTTGTGCTCCCCGATGCTATCTAGAAGATTTTACTACTCAATTGTATAATTTTTGTACTAATAAAAACTGATGTAAGGGAAAGAAAATTGTACGATATCGAGATGAGGCACCACTGATGTAATATTACTAGCCATTTCTAGGTGATTGATGCTCAGTGCTGTGATTCTGTACATCTTTCTATTGTTTGTAGGAAGTTATGCTAATAATATTTGTTTCTAGGTGAATGAATAGGAAACAGAAAAAAAAAATCATTTATTCATTTATTTATTTCTTGGTTGAAAGAGTACTCATCTATGCGATTTCCTTCTTTCTTCAGGATGTAACCCATACAATGTACTGTGAACGGTCCGAGCAGCAAAAATACTATGCGAGAGCAGCAGAAGCATTTTGCCCCTATTAGGAAGCCGCTATGAACGCAACAGATGATATGACAGCTCTTATATCCATCCGAACTTGTTTTCTTTGATATTTGCACGTTTTCTCCTAATTATTCTTGTTTAGCCGATGCCGTTCTCCTCTCCAGGAGATTATTTCATATACGCATGTGTTCCTCCTCCTCAAACCTACGTTACCGTACAATGCTAATGCGATTAAACTATTGAATCTTGATTATCTTACAATAAATTTTTTTTCCTTTAAGGATCTCTCCCCCTTTTCTTTCAATGTGTATGCTCTTGGTTTGAACGGATAAGCATCCGTCCCCATTACTGTTCGTTCAATGTGCATCTCCGTGCATGTTTCCTACCCTTTTTTTTGTGGTGGTGGTGGGAGGATGGGGAAAATATAGCCCTAGGGCATCTCACGGAGGGCGAATGTCGATAGCTCTGCCTGAAGGCATCTCGCAACGTCGAATATTCAAAGACCTAGAGGAGCCTCCTTGAAACGCTACTCGACTGAAAACATTGTAAACTTCACACTTTTTCGTTATTACCTGCTGGGTACCTTCACTGTCGTAAGAAACATCAAACACCCGTACAACAATTGTCACGCTGTCCATGTCGTGATAGTAGATACACACACACAGTGTACAACTTCGTGGTTGAATTCCACGGACTCTCACAAATTAGGAGACTACTTGTGACTCTTCCAACGACACTGAACAACGCCCAGCTAGGACATACCATTAGGACAGGAAAACAAGATTTATGTACTACAGATTTATAATTTTACAAAATTATAGAAACACGCATACCATATTCAAACCAAAACATCCCCAAAAGGTAAAAACCTACACAAACCCAGTAATTAGCAACGGATAATGGCGATGAAAGCGCTATGCATACGTTTCGTTTAACTGATCTTAAATTCACCACTGGCATGAACTTCCTTTACTCTCTTTTCATACTCATCTTCCTCCTCCTCGTTCGTCTCCTCTTCTTCCTCCTCCTCCTCCTCCTCCTTCCCTTCTCCCTCCTCGTCCTCTTCTTCCTCTTCGGCCCATCCATATCCAGAGATAGACTTGGTTGTCTGTGGGCGAGTCCTAGCTTCTCCTACGATCTTCATTATGTCTTCAATACTCTGGAGAGAATAAGTTGGAGCGTTGTGATCCCTTTTGTAGTATGCAGCCTGTGCAACTTCTGTCAGCTCCCTCGGCAAGTTTTTCAAGAACCATGGATGGTTCCTTATTTCTCTAATTGAAATCCTCTGTACACAGAAAAGCATTGAACTTTTTAAGCTAATCCTTGGGAAAACAAACATATACGCAAAAAAAGATATTGATTGCAAGGATTACCCTCATTGGATTGGCAACAAAGATACGGGATAGAAGCTGCCTGCAGTCTGGGGATATATGAACATAGTCTGGTATCTTATACTGGACTGACATTATTTTCTGCCAATTCAAACAAGAAAACAAGAGAAAACAATCATCACTTCACGGTTGCTATATGCAAGGGTATTCTCTACTTGCGTAATCGATTCAGAATAAATTGGGGTTCTAGATAAAAACACGGATCGATGAATAAGTTTGAAATGAGAAAAGAGAAGAAAAGAGATGAGAGGCCTTACTCCAATCGTCTTGCGGAAATTCTTTGGGTCATCTTGATCCTCAAAAGGATAGGCTCCAACCAACATCACATACAGTGTAACTCCACATGACCACACATCCGCCAGCTAAATAACCGCAAGAAACTTTGTTAGAATTTGACATAATTACAGTTAAATATATATCATACAATGAATTGCAGAAACATTGGGATATTCTCTCTTGGGACCTTCTAGTTTTTCTCTCCATTATCTCCATGTTCAAGAGATAAGAGGCCAGACGAGTTACAACTTAGACGCGGTAGGGGATTGGCTGTTAATTTCATCATAAGGTATCATGGTTAGGGCCCATATACAACTTAACCGTAGTTAACCTATCGGTTGGAAACCATGGTATTCCCTATATGGAGATTCAAATGATTTGAGATACTTAATGCCCATGGCCTAATTAAACATCATGTCTTGAGATGCTGATTATGAATTTTATGTGTCTGGGCAAATGATTGTTATTCTACTACTTTGCTCTGTAGTCCCATTAATAGAAGGTGTAGGGGAGTACCTCTGTTGTTATCACAAAAGAGAAAGATAACAGAGGGTATCAAACTAAGGACAGTTTAATGGACCAAAATATGTTCCAAAACTTCGAAAGTTAAAGCATATGTCTGCCACCACAAAAACAAATCATAGCCTCAAGGGACATTTAATAATTATGATATTAGTAGATTACAGGAGGCCATGGCGTGTGCCATCCACTTGTTATATTACCAACTAACTTATGAAAATGGTTGTATAATTTAGAAACCGTGGGAAGAAATTCTGAAAATACTTTATAAGCACCGAAGATGTCTACTCATGTAGCCTCCTCTTAAATACAACTACTAAAAAAGGATCTTGAATTAACTTTCAAGATAATAAATGGTAAGTAACTGCTTACACTTTCTACAAGAAGAAAATGTATATGGTAAGTAACTGCTTACACTTCTCTTGCTTCTTTTACCCAAAGAAGGTAAGGTACAATAAGTAGCATTTTCTTTCTTGGTTGTCAATGAAGAAGCACAAGAAAGTGGGATATGACGCCATTATCAGCATATCCCCTTCCTGTTGTTTCGTATCTCCTATCACACTTTAATTCCCCAGATAGTGAACTTATCGTACTTAAAAAAGAACATACTCATAGTCGGTCAAAATAACAGTGATAGATAACCTACATAAACGAACATCTAAAATACAAAATTAGAAAATAAAAAAAAGGAAAGAAATAAAAGAAAAAGATAGTAGACCGAATAGTACAAAGTTAATATATAAATATATCAAGTTAAATGGAATTGGATAATTATTCAAATTAGCTAAATTATTAAAATTAACTGAATATATTAATTAAATGCCCAAAAAAATGTGATAACCCACGAAAGAAAATAGCATAAAAGAATGTAGATATGGATATTTACTTCCTTGAGCTATAATTCATTTCTTATGTTCACATGGACATTTTTAAGAAAGTTAAATAAGGATATATCACAAACCAAATTGAACTGCATTAAATGTCACCCTCTTGTTGTTAATTAAAATAATGTCACCCTTCTTTCACATCGTCATTTTCAAGTAAGTTAATAATGATATTATCACTAACCAATTTGAAGTGCAATGTAATGTCACCTTAAAGGTTACCGAATAAATAATTGGACTCACTTTAACACGAAATTGTCCAGATTAAATTTTAAAACAACTAATATGAAATATAGATTACCTTTAAAACAAACTATGAAATTTATTTTTTCAGAAAAAATCATAAACCTATCTTAATTTTCAAAATGTTGCAATGAATTTTGTAATTGCGTAAACAAAAAACCATACTAGTAAACAAACCAAAACCTATAATAGTTTCTTGAAAGCTAACAAATTATTAGTGCCATAATGCTACACTACAGCACTTTTGAGCACTACTCCAAGTAGAGGTGGGCATGGGCCGGGCCGGTTCAGGCCCGTGACCCGGCCCGCTCGAGTCAGAATAAGTTGGGTCTTTTTCTCTGATTCCGGGTTTGGAATTGGACCCAGCCCGGCCCACGACCACATGAGTCCGTGGGTCGCCCGTGAGGCTTTTAACTTTTTTATTTTTAAATTATAAACTATATTAACTTTATATTTGTATCTATTAAATTATATTTAAATTATTTTTTCTATTTTATTCTTTATTTAAAATAATATACACACACATTGTATAAAGATAAAACATCACAAACAGAAAGATAAACGAGGTTCGGATTTCGATGGAAGACCTAAGTCCACGAAAATTTAATAACTTTCCTCTGGTTTTAAATTTAAATTATAAATATAAGATGCTCTTTTAGCCTATTAATATTTAGCCCGCTAAGGCTAAAAAAGCATCTTTTTAGCCTGCTAATCCTCTTTTTAGCCTGCTAAAAAGAGAATCCTCTTAGCCTGATCTTTTTAGCAGGCTAAAAAGAATTTTAGCAGGCTAAAAAGAGAGCATGTGACCATGTCTCAGTGTCTCTCTCTGTTTAGGGGGGGAAAGGTCAGAAGAGAGCCTCTCTTTAGGGGAAAAAGACCCAATCTGACCTACTACTAGCGGGCCAAACTAGGCCAGAAAACCAGATTGCGGCCAGCAACAAAATTATTGCTAATCTGCTCGCAACCAGCAAGCCATTGGCTAGCCTTTTGGCCATTGGATTAGCAGGGCCACTGCTGGCCAGTGTGCTAGGGCCAGTAGGCTAGTAGCTAGCAGCGCCGCAACAAGCTGTGGGTTATTATTTATATTTTGAGAAAAAAACTAAAAATTAAATTTTCGGGTCGGACCGGGCTGAGCCGGGTTGATAGTGGGCCATGTCGATTTCTCTCGTTCTGGGTCTGGAACTAAACCCAGCCCGACCCATGACCCGTGTATATCACGGGTCGGGTCGGGCCAAATACACGGGTCATGGGTCGGGCCGGACCAGGTCGTGACCGATGCCGTGCTCGGCCAGATCAGAATGTGGGTCGACCCAGCCCGCGCCCAACCCTAACTCCAAGTTCAAGAAGTGATTTTTTTTTTTTTTTACTGTTAGAAGATGCCGTTATATAAGTAAAACCTATAATCCCAAATATTCCCATTTTTCCAACGTTCTGCTATGCCTGCGGACTACCTATTTCACGTTGAACAGATACGCCTCCTGCAGAGCTAACTGACACTGCACGTGGCAAAAGTTCCCCTGCACGCAGCCAGCGTGTCAAACAACATCTACTAACGCCAGCACATATCGGGTCCCACCTTAGGATCCGGCTGAGCACGCACTACGAAGGACTTTCGTCCCATTACTATTAAAAAAAAACTTTTCCAAAAAGAAGGCCTACACCAGAAAAGTTCGACCCAAGTTCAGACCCAGAGAAAGAATCTCTGCCCCAAAAAGCTGGGTGAAAACCCACGTCGCCGTCGGAACTTTTTAGGTAAAACCGTTACGTAACTTGGCCGCAGCTAAAAGCTTTTCGCTGCAATTTCTGTTAAATAAAAGTTGTAGCAGGACTTTTCTGTAAACTATTCTCACCTTGCCGTCGTACTCACGCCGCGAGAGTACTTCAGGTGCGATGTACGCTGGCGTCCCCACCGTCGATTTGGGTCTCGAGTGTAGCAATGATGACTGTTCCCCAAAAAAAATATCAGTTTAGTACCTGACAATTGGCAAAATTAAAAACTTGGAATGTGAAAAGAAATTATATCGGAGACCTTGGAGTATCCGAAATCGCAAATCTTGAGCCTCGGCGCTGGGCTACCGTCGAGCAGTGTGTTCTCCAGCTTCAAATCTCGATGGCATATTTGCTATTTGCACAGAAAATCCAAAAAGGTTGAATTTGAATTGCTTTAAATGTAAATAGATTTTAATAGGGGGGTATCCGTTAATTTTTTTTAATAAGGATGATACCATGAAATGGCAGTAGCTGACGCCGGATATGAGTTGCTGGAAAAAATATCTCGCCTGTTAAAACAAAAGAGAAAATCAAAATTAATCCTCAGATTTTTTATATTTTTCAGGTGAAAAAAAAAAGAAAGAATTTTGCAGAAAACGACCTCGTCTTCGCTGAATCTGCCAGCGTTGCAGATCCTCTCGAAAAGCTCGCCGCCGGCGGCATACTCCATCACGATCGCCAAATGCGTCGGTGTCAGAACAACCTTAAACATCAAACAAAATTCCCAAATTAATCCCAAAAAAAAAAAACTTTCAATAATTTCCATCTCAAAAAGCCTGACTCCCCCACCTCTTTGAACCGAATTATGTTCGGATGTCGCAAGGATCGGTGGTTGATGATCTCTCGCGCCACATTCTCGTCCACCTGAGACCGAATCAAATCAGATCAAAAGGAAATAAACCAGATCGAGAATCAACGGCTTTAAGATTCGATCGGATCCCAACCTTGTTGCCTCTCTCGATGTATTTCATGGCGACGAGCTCCTTCGTCTCCTTGTTCCTCATCAGCCTCGCAACGCCGAAATTCCCCGACCCGATATCCCTCACGAGCTCGTACTTCTCCATGGCGAAGAGCTGAAACCTCCGATATCCTTCGATCCCAGTCTAGGTTTCTCCTCTCCTCATTCGAGAAACTTAGGGTTTGATCGAGGGACCGAACCCTTTTTATAACGGGAGACTCCGCTAGATTCGAGGAGAGGGGAAAGCACGTGGCTTCTACTGTATGCTCCGAATCGATTTCACGGTGCCGACTTGAATCGGGATCAAATCGTGGAGGAAAGAGGGGGGCGAGGACGCGTTTCCGGTTTGTTTATTATTTTTGGCGTATTTTCTTGGCATTTAATTCAGGATTTGTTTTGATCTGAAAATGGGGAGATTTGTTGCTGTTTCTTGAGGTTCGGAAAACTCTTGAGAGAGAGGGAGAAAGAGGAAGCGTGTATATATGGGAGGGCCAAATTTATTTAGGCTTTTTTTTTTCTTATAAATCCAAAAGTTTCAGTTTCATTAATTTTTAGTTCTTCCTGTTTTGCATTTATATGCAACAAAGACTCTAAGATTTGCACTTTAATACCTCATGTCATGCAAACATGAGAGATCTCGTGGGAATATTTCCACATGACTCTCACAAGCAATTTAAAACCTTTTAGCCCTTGCTAGTTTGTTGAATTCGTCGTTAGCTCAATCATAATTCTATTGGAAATATAATTTACGTAAGTTTTTGAAGTAGAATCAAGTTATATCTAGCAGTAAATTTAACAAACAGTAAAGTTTTGAAAGCTCTGAAATTAGCTTGTGCCGCATGGAAAAATTCATGAGAAACTTTGCATAACACAACGCATTAAAGTTCAAATAAAGCTTAGAAACTTTAGGCTGCACGATTTGCTTTGAAAAAAAAAAAGCAATGAGGGCATATATATAAGTACAAATTAGAGGAAATTACATGGTATCTAAGCGCTAATTAGCCATTTCTAAGGTCATGTGTTTTCAAATCACTCTTAAACCCAAAATGTCCTATTGAATTATTTTTAAACCTATTTTGTGCTTTTCGATAGTTTACTACATGGTATTATTTTGTCTTAATTTGTTATGTCGTTTTACTTCAAGTTGCTATGTTTTGGTATAATTTTTCCTATTTTATCATAATTTATTACATACTAACTTGTTGAAAAAACAGAGAGCGGGTTTAAAAATATATGGGATCTTGGGTCTAATAGTGGTTTCGAAGGTGGATGGATTTAATAATAAATTGGGGTGTAGCTTTGGTGTTTGCAGAAAAATCTCATTCATCCATGCTGTAATATTTATGAGAGAGTGAGTGGATTGATCTGGACCGTTGATTTGATGAGGTCAGGCTTTTCCTCGATTTGCTACACAATGATTAGGTGATTCTGTACTCCCACACTTTTAGTATTATTATTCATGTTCATATTAA